GCAATGTCGCGGTAGCTCTGCACGAGCTTGTAAGCTGCCTGGGCGCTCTTGAAATCGTCGGTTGAATTGTCGCGCTTAAACTGATCCAGCTTATGGGCGAAGGCTTCGATCTGGCGAGTGACGCGGTCAGCAGTCCGGCGCAGGGGGTGTAGTGCTTCCTGGGCGCCTGCGGCGGTGAACAGTGGGGCATCTAGGATAGAATTTAGCAACTGCGATCTAAACACTGAATCTTGAGCCGACCTTGAGACTTGCCCGAAGCGCCAAAGGTAGACTGCATAGAGGGCTCGGGATCAGAAACATCGGACCCAGTCTCCGATACGGTGTCGCCATCCATATCTTCGTCCATGTCCTCATCTTGGTCTTCAGATTGGTCTTCTGATTGAGCTTCCGAATTTTGGTCCTCGTCCTCCAATTCTTCATCCTCGTCGAAAGATTGTTGCGAATCATCGTCAATGTTGATGACCTCGTTTTGTCTATGCGGCTGGGGAACCTATATAAAGGATTAGGAGAGAACAAAAAGCAAAGAGCAAAGAGCAAAGAGCAAAGAGAATGGACGCACCTGTGCGAACGAAGCCCCAGCGGCTGATCGAGTTAAAGGTGCCATGATGGGAGACTTGGTTAGAAGGGAGGAGAGAGAGAGAGGAGCTCTGAGGAATAAGTTGTGTTTGTCTCTTTTGGTTTTCGCGTTGACAGACTAACCCCAAAGTAGACTAGCGGAAACACCAGAAGCTATTTCTACGAATTTTCGCCCACGGCCTTCTCTCCTTCTTTTCTTTTCTTCTCTAATGTCTATAGGCTTTCATTAGAGTCTCGGTATGAAAACTCAATTTTCGTACAGGTCCATGAGGCCTCTTTGCGTGCTCACGATTGTCTTATAATAAATGCAGTTCTTCAATTAGCCTGGTTTCCTCCATATGGGAACTCAGACCACAAGGGAATTGTGACATCCTCCACTTTCGACATGGGTCACTTGAAAGTATTAAAAATGTAATAGCCTCACTGCTTGGCTGCTTGGGCACGTTGTTTCATCTTCAACCGCAGCAAATTGGCTTTAGGGCAGCTGACGGTAGATGCTTGTTCACCTCGCTCTTGGTAGAAGGCATTGCAGCATTCATACAGAGCATCGATTTGTGCCTGGCATTTGTCCTCATTAAAGGAGTTTCTCTGCAAGCAATCTAGCTCCGGTTAGGCTTTGTTTTTGTGTGAACGTCCTATGAATTGGAAAATACCTTGAATGGCGCACTGTTGCACTGTCAGTGAGAGCTAGCACCCTGGGCAACACCGCTATAAATGGACGCTTTCAGGATATAGAGACATACAGCACGCGGATGGCAGGGTTGATCGTGTGACAGATCTTGCTTTAAATTACCCTATAGGGGTCTCAGTATGTAGCCAATATGTTCACAGTGGGAATTTTCATACCATGATGCGATTATCAAAGACTGTACTCCATACAAAGCGTTGTAGACACACTGTTCCTTGGAAGTGACGAAAGTGATAGAAGACCAAACGCAAAATAGATTCTCCGCCTTCAGACCGTGGGACGAGTGCGCTATTCTGCCGCCGCCGCCGATCTCTCTTCTTCCTCTCTCTTCTAACTTCACCGTTTCCGCAACCTTCGCTATCTCGAGCTTTCGTCTTCTAGGTGAGTACCTCATACTTCAGTTATGCGCTAAAATAGTGTTGAAATCGTGATCTAACCCTCTAGACAGAATTCAAAGCCCCGCTCGAAGAGGTTCCTGAACTCGCTTCTACCGTTGTAAGCATTCTGCCTCGTTGCCATTCCGTGCTTCATAAGAAGTAGCCGTTTAACGAAATCCAGTCCTCAAAAGTCATTCATCATGTCCGACAAAGAAGGCGCTGCTCCTGCCACCGAGCACCTGAACATTAAGGTGACCGATAACAACAACGAAGTTTTCTTCAAGATCAAGCGCACAACCCAGCTGAAGAAGCTCATGGATGCCTTCTGCGAGCGTCAAGGAAAGCAAATGTCGACTGTTCGGTTCCTGTTTGACGGCACCCGGGTTCGCCCTGAAGATTCGCCCGAGACTGTACGGCTACCTCCCTCCTTTTTTTGCCACACATTGGTGTCTAGGGACCTTTAAACTAACTGAAAATAGCTCGATATGGCGGATGGTGATACCTTGGAAGTGCACCAGGAGCAGATTGGAGGTTGCTAGACGACAAGCTCTCCATGCTAGAGTCGCACTTCCCGACGGAACCGAGGCTACTGGGGCGACATACGTGGGGGGAATACACTAGGGCTGATGGCCAGCAGTGGATAGAGGATCCTCATTGACGGCCCATTTGACGGCCCATGGGCGAAGGGGCGGCGTTCATACTGCTTTTTTGTTCTCTTATGAATGATGATTATCAACCTAGTCTTCTCTGAAGACTTTGAGGGTGCTTTCGCTATATTAAAGCTCACTCGAGGTCAACACGGCCGCACCGCGTAGACATAGTCTAATTTTGGTCCTAGAGTTGGTATTTGAATATAGGACTGAGAAACTAGGGCTTGCCAAACTAAACCAATAGAGACCTCCTTTTTTCTAGAGTGCAAATGTCGCAATAGCTTGCATTGTTCGTTACCTTAAATGGCTGATTGAGGTCTCGATGCGAGCTTGCGCGTCGAGATATATACTCGCTACGTTCCTTTTCACCATGGTCGCCTCGAGCAACGCGTTATCAAACAATCCGTTCCAGTGTGAAAGACCCCCGCAGTTGTCTCCCCAGTGTCAATTGATTGCCCACATCTGTTCTCCATGGGCCAGTAAAGTCCAAGGCACCACACGAAGTAACAAAGAGCCACCGCCCATTCGCATGTGATAATCCACCATGCAGAGAGCAGACATATATACAAACAAGTCCAATTCGACAATATATACACACATATAGAGAGCCAATCGCCTAAAATGACCCGAAATTTCCACTCTAAAACCACCTAACTGTTCCAAATAGAAGCCTTCATCTTCTCCTCCTCCTCTTTAGCCTTAGCCTTCTCCTCGCGCTCCCGATTCCGCCTCCGAATCTCCTGCTCCTTAATCGAGCGATCATAAGCGCGTTGCTGCTCCGTCCGCTTCGGCGCGCGGATCCCCAACGCACCGGCAATCATTCGCTCCGCAACAGCAGTTTGCTTCTCCGGACGACGGGCAGGAGGTTCCCGCGCAGAAGCAGGAGAAGCAGCTCTCGCCGTCCACGGGTTGGAGGTCTGCGGGGAGATAGGTGTCGGTGGGGGACCTAGAGGTCCCTCGGCACTGATGGTTGGCGAGAGCACAGGGGCAATGTCTTCGTCGCGGGGCTGAGCTTCCTCGGCTTCCGAGGCGGAAAGGTCTGCTTCGTCTTCCCAGGAGTCTGCGACAGGTTTGCGGGGTATTTTGGTTTTGGATTTGGGGTTTGAGGTCACGGCTGCTGTTGGGAGCTTTTTCACGTTTGGTCGGGAGATGTCTTGCACTGGGCCCTTTTCACCTATGGACAGGTTCCGGAGTGTGGACTGGAGCTCGGCGCTTGGATCAGACATGGCACTGGCACGTGGGAGTCCGGGTGTAACGGGCAGTAAGTATACAAGAGGGTCAATGGTCAATAAGAGTTTACGTATACAGCTCAATTTAAGGAAGATTTGTGTTGGCTCGAAATAGAAACTAATGGCGTCAGTGTCGGTGGCATCCCTGGTCGATGGTGGAGAAAAAGGAAGGGCTAGACCTTTCTGGTTCGGATTTCTGCCTCAGGATCGTCAGGCATCAACCGTATTAGTTAGACCTTTCCTATTTTTATTTCAGGGATAGTAGAACATGTTATAATGAATTCATGTCTTCAATGTACTTATACCTAGTATTCTACACAACGGCAAGCGAGTCGCCACCCTCCTACCGCTGCTGACCGCCTGCCCTAGACTTACTTCACATGATATGATCCTGTCCTGTCGTAGGGTAATTTTGCCGTCCCCCTTATCGGTAACGTACCTTCCCCTCCATTAATACTACAGGTACTACTTGACAGAAATTGATAAGCAAAATGTATACTTTTAGGTCACATGAGTGGCCGGTAAAAAGACCGGTATTCAATGTAACGATCCTGATTCTTGACACTGCTACTAGTCCCCCTTTGTTACAGTCATGTTGCATGAGTATTTGCACCCCAGTACTTTGGAGGGCTTAGGCCCCACTTCTTTTCTGCCGGTTAAAACTCCTCATTTTCTAACTAGCTAGTAACTAGTATGCCAACCTTCGTATTTAATAACCTCTTCCACCCGGTGCGGCATAGTCTCTGCTAAATTTATAAAGTAGTGGTGTACTGTGAGATTCTCCCATGCATACTGCGCTGCATCTACTAACTCGGCCCAGGTCTCCTGAGTAGTATAGAGTATAGGGAAAGGATTAGACAGGTAAAAAATAGGGGGAAAAGGGGGTAGTAACCTTTATAATACTAGTATACTACGCGCTGCGCGACGCGCGCGCCCGCGGTTTATACTAGTAGGAATAGGCAGGCGGTACGAAAGAGCGGTCAATGGTGGAGGTACTGGGGTGCAAATACTCATGCAACACCACTGTAGTAGCCTTCTCACTTCTCTTCTTCTGCCTTATCTTCCTTTCGCTATCCACCACTGTTTAGCCAATATGCTGTCTCCGCCATTATCCACAGTTTCCTCCTCCTTAGCTGCAAAGGACGTCGACTCGGCGAAGTCCCTCGATAGGACCGAGTCAGATGTTGCACCTCGAACTTCGCAGGTCGAGGTCGAGGTAGCGGGTGTCTGTTATTCGCACCTGCCATTCGAAATCCCGGGTGCTGTGGTGTTGTCTGCCCCTTCTATTTCTACCCTTCGAGAAACTGCGAACGATGTCTATCATCAAATCAACTCCGACACGTCTTACTCGAACCAGTTTATCATCGTGTCAAACATATCCCAACAAGTGTAGGAGCTAATAGCTGGAGATCGAAACCCCCTTGAAGTGCCCTATAGGTTAACACTCGATACACAGCACTAGCAAGGGGTCATTCGAATAATGCCCTCAAAAGCCTATAAGCGAGTCACGCGGTCATTTTCAAACGAACTCGTCGAAAAGTTACTTGATATGGGAATTCGTCCAAGAGATTACACTATGAATAGCGCCTCCCGGTACCACGGAAGAACATGCGACAAAGAAGCCGACGAGTCTCTTACTCCGTTAGGGAATCCTTCTGAAGATAACGACTGGCCTTCGCTCGTTATTGAAACTAGTCTTTCTGAATCAGAAGCACAACTACGAGCCGACGCATATTGGTGGTTCGCAAATTCCGACTACAAAGTCAATATGGTTATACTCTTTCGCATCCAAAGATCGCCCGAGCGCAGAGTTACCATAAAACACTACAGTCTCAGACTAACCACCCCTAGAATCACTCGTGGACTACAGGCGGAGGCCCAGCGCACTCTGCTATCTCAAACAGACTCCCCAATAGTGCTGCGTCATTCAGCGGTCCATGAGATCGTTATTACCTCAAGCGATGTTGAGAACGCTCCGCTAGAACTAGATTTCGAATCCGTCATGCGCCGCCGGCCGGCCCCTAACACAAGGGAAAGAAATATCACATTCACGGCTGAGGATCTTACTGAGTGCTGTCGCCATGTCTTTCTGGAAGCCTGAACATTATTACTACCTGTCTTATCGCTAGATGTCCTCAAGAAATGCTAAGAATGCTCCACTGAGGACCTTGCTGTGTGCTGCTGCCCTGTCCTTCGGGAAGCCTGAGCATTACCACTACATGTATTATTAGGAAGTTGAATTCAAAGCTTTCTTTTTGACAGATATCCACTTTGTAGTGTATTTTATTAGTTCAGGACTCCGTGGCCAAACACCGGCAGATCGACGGCCAAGAACGGCCTCACTTGCGGCCGTTTCTTACAGCCTACTTGCCGTCTGCTACTTTAATTGAGTATTCTCTACAACTAATCCCGCACTTTGCCCCTTACGTCGGAAGCACCAAGCTAGCAACCTAATGGAACCGGCTTATAGATTATTTCCCCAGTTCGGTAGAAGGTTATATGGGGCATCAAACTATTGGCAACCTGCATCAGAAGAAGTAATATGGCAATAGGAGTAGCAAAGTGCATAGTAAAGCATTGAAGAAACTGATCAGTAACATTTTTCATACTTCGATTTTCTGTCTGTCTATAAATCCTCTCTGCTCCCCTAGTTTTTCCCTCTACCCCAGATACCATTATCGTTCTTTTCAAAATATCGAATTGCAGGACCACCATATCCAAATTAAAACATGAAGCACGCCGTTGCTACCATCGCCGCCCTGGCCAGCTTGTTCGGCCAAACCATCGCCTTCAATACCAACGGAATCTACGCAATCCAGTCCGCACGCTCTGGAGATGTTTGGGGAATTCAAAACTCCATCGGCGTTAGACATTGGGTTGAGTTGGTACACCCGGAAGGCAAAACTGCTGAGCACTGGCGTCTAGTCTCCTCCGGTCCCAACTTCTTCATTCAAAACGTTTACACCCAGGGGATGCTCTCATGCCCGGAGCAACACCAGTGCGAAGTGGACACCCTTGGAAACAATGCACAGCTTTTCGATGTCGTTGAGAGTGGAGACAACACATTCATTTTACACCCCTCGGGAACTCCACTGGTGATAGGATCTAGGGAGGGTAATGAGTTGGAGGCCCAGCCTTCGGATCCATCAGTTGATGCGGACTTCCTTCTTCATCCAACCGAGCACGAGTGTGAGTCACTATATTTACTTCGTCACTTGACCTTTGGGCTATTAATCTAATGTCTATTGTTGATATAGAAATCGAATGACGCGAAGCTTGTTCCTGGTCCTCTCTGGGGTTGGTGATGTCTCTTTTAAAGGGACGGGAAGATTGGGGATATTGATAGGAAAGCATATACATAATACCATATACCGTGCACATTATATCAGTCATATATGTAGTTATGAATTTTTAGTTCTCACTAGTTCCCTTGATAGCCCGAAATACGATGATCGGACATCAGCAGGCCTCGAACCAGAGGGACACAGCTTTTATATCACAATACACGAAATATTTTCTAGAATATCTCCAGCTCAAATTGTAGCTGTCAGCCAATCCATCGCCTTGAAAGGTAACGGCGTAAAATAACTGTTTTATGAAACACTATTCAGCACAAAGGATCTCTGACCCCGGTCCCTAAGCGGATGGCCGTAACACCAAAACGAGGATTCTGACACAGCCAGGGCCATTTACCCTGGACTATGAAAGAAAAAAAAGTAATTAGCATGGAGCTATAATCAGGCCTGCCGCTGATTTCGGTTTAGGCTTTCTGTGGTGTGGTGTGCAGCCATATCCATATCGGTATAACTTCACCGGCACCTCTGGCGGGTTTGACACACTCAATCTTTAATTGCGCATCCAGCGCCTCATTCTGGCTGGTAATGGTTATAACAGAAAGAAAAGGTGTACACACCGACATTGAATGCTCCACACATCTTCGCTTATACTTGCTAGGCTTTACCATTGTACTAAAAGGGGCCTAGATCGCAGGGTATGGGAATTTATAGGAGTTTTAACTAGGTAGTGATAATAGAACAACCTAGTTGGCTTTGAGTGTTTTGGAATTAGACTAGTAAGCATGAAATAAAGGTCACCCTGCAAACCTGTGACCATGGCTTTCATGCAAAACTGATCTATCGTGGCCAGAAACCTGGGCAACATCGGTCTCTTAAAGGAAAAAATAGATGTAAGAAAGCTCTACATCCATCTATATCTATATATATCTTTCTTTGACACACAGGACTAGGAAGTGAGTAACGAAGCTAACTTTCAATCATGACTTCTACACTGAGTACATCGGGACATCCACTTTCCTCTGTGCCATAATCATGGTTGAAATCCGCGCTGCAGCCAAATGCATGGAGGTGACTCGTCAATGCCCAGTTGAGGGCACTATTTACGGTTACGCACCCGATCTTGTGATCAGCGTCGAATTCTGCTTAATATTCGGTGTTTGTTCCCTGATACAGCTCGGCCAGATGATCAGATGGCGCCTATGGTCTTTTAGTATTTCTGTGATTCTCGGTTCTTTAACTGAGGTGATCGGTAAGTCAAAATGGACCTCCATAGGAACGACTCCTGGACTGTTCCGGAGAGAATTGACAAAACAGATAGGCTATTTTGGTCGTATATTGCTCCACGAAAACCCATATTCATCTGCCGGCTTTAAGACGCAGATTTGCACTTTGACACTGGCACCCGCTTTCTGGTCGGCAGCCATATACCTGACGCTGAAGCATGGAGTGAACGTTTTGGGCCAACAATACTCGACACTGAGGGCGAAGTGGTATCCCTATATCTTTGTCAGCTGCGATATCATTTCGTTGATTCTCCAAGGCGCTGGCGGCGGCCTTGCAGCGGCAGCTAAGACATCCAAAGCCAGTGACATGGGCAGCAATGTCATGCTGGCCGGGATTGTTTGGCAAGTTGTTACCTTGACGGTATTTGCGGTGATGTCGGGCTATTTTCTTCTTTGTATAAAGAATGCCCCGAAAGATAGATTGACGGTTGAGGCCCGAAAAGTTTGGAACAGTCGCAATTTTTGGGCATTCTTTTGGGGTATCTTTGTGGCGTTTGTGACAACTTATGTCCGTTGCGTCTATCGGTAAGTAAATTGGCGAAATATTTGATATCTGCGAAGTACTGATATTGGAGCGTGCAGTATTGCGGAAATGGCCGGTGGGTGGAAGAGCTCTATAATGCAGGACGAACTTGATTTTACTATCCTTGAATCGATGTAAGTCGAGCTTTGACACCGTTGCTAGGCATTTGAAAGAGCTGATGGATCCTAGAATGTGTGCTGTCGCTGTGATAGCCCTATGTGTCACGCCTCCTGGGTATTTCTTCCCGCAAATGCGTGGAGATTACATCGGATCAATGAAGGTGAAGGAAGAGAAGAGCTCTATTTTACTAGAGCCAGAGCGACGACGCAAATATCAGGAACCTGTTTGATTCTGTTGAGGTCATACTGCCTGTTGCTCAGATGGTGGTATTTTGGAGGAAATTTGATATTTTATGTTTATGAATCCGACTCGGCCAGTACAGTTGCTCTAGTTGCGGCAACTGAAGTGATGCAAAGTATCACATTGATGACTTCGAGCACACCTGTGGGACCTCAAGTTGCAAGTGCAGCCACGACATCTTGTCTTCCCTTCTTTACCGCAATATCCTGGACATTTTCGCCATTGCAATCGCGAATGGAAAAGTCCACCTTTTGGGTCTCGGTGAGCAATTGTATGATATGCAAGTCTCCCCCTTGTGCGGCATGAAAAATAGCGGTTCTACCTTCATTATCGCGCAAATTAAGATCAATATCTCCAAATTTCAACAGTGTCTCCACAGTCTGCCGATCACCGACGGCAATAGCGTGTACGAGAGGGGTTCGTTTCTGGACGTCCTGTGAGTTGACGTTGACGCGCGAGCTGCGCAGAAGAGCTTCCATAAGCTCAACATTACGATTTGTCGCGGCCCAAGCCAGAGGGCTTTTCCCCCCTGTCCAGGCCAGAATGCCTTGTTCCGTTGTCATTTCCATTTGCTCGTTTCGGGCCATCATCAGTCTCCTTTTGTTTTGTTGTTCGAGTAACATGAGTTGCATTTGATAGTCTTGGAGGACAGGCGTACCGGGTTCGAGAGGCAGCCTTAGGGAATTTCCCGTAGGTAGTCTGAACGGGAATTTTCGTTTTTCACTCGTTGAATTGCCGGACAAAGGAGGTGAAAGTCGATTAGCGTCTGCTGTCTCTGAGCTCTTTTTACGTGGAAATGGCTCGTCCAGGTCAATATTAGAGCATGAAAGGAGGCTTTCAAATGCTGGAGTCTTCCATATCCCGGATCGAATGGCGCTCCACAGTGCTGCGTTAGCAAAGCCTTTCTCAGCCCACTCCCTTACGAGGGATTGATCTGTGGACGCCTGAGAAAATCCTGCCAATGTTTCTTCCGCCACTTCCCTCGGTGGGATCTCGTTGAGAGGGTAGAAGAATTGCTTGACAAAGCGAAAGTTGCGGGAATTGAGGCACACCAGTATCATCCGGTCCCAAATTGCCTTTTCTACCAGAAATTTCGCCACTTGAATAAAAGTCCCCAGAGCGTCAGAGCTTGGATCACGTTTAAAAAAGTTGCAAAGCAACACCCAAAGTATTGGTGGCGGTTTGGATGCGTGCGCGATGTCATCATTCAAAATCCATCTCAGACCATAGGCTTCATTCGCTCTAATTAATAGTGGCAGAATGTAAATTCCCGCAGCGCCGTGAACAAGGTCGATCACCTGCTTTATAAGAGCCTCGTCCCCCAGCCGAAGGACGTTTTTGAATACAGTTTCTAGACGAGCTTCCTTGCTATCAACCAGGAATGAATCGGGCAGACCCTCCTTGGACAACTTCCGGGCTATAGCCCGGCCCTTTTCAGAGGCGATGGAATCGGAACTCGCCAGCAGATGGAGAAAGGCGGGCCAGTTGTATTTGCCACAAATCGTCAACCTCGTATTAGGGCGCTCAATCAAAGTAGCCAGTATTTCCAAGTTGCCTTTCTCAGCTGCATTCGTCAAGGGCGTCTCAATTTCCTTGTCGATGTTGATCATGCAATTTGCGTCGGCCAAAGGTTTCTCCCCTCCAAGCAATAAGTTCACTAGTCGAAGCCCCGCGTTGCGATCGGCCTTTGTTGCGAGAAGAAGGGCGTAGTCAAAAAAGATACGATGCAAATTGAGCTTCTCCGAGCGCCGAACAAAGATAAACCTCTCCCATTGCTGGAAAGCTTTAATTTCTCGTCGTGAGAATCCGTCTTTCATGAGCAGTTCTATATCACTGGCTTGCGAGTGCTGATACCCGAATACTTGAGTTCCAACCAAGAAATCAGCGATTCCATGAAATCCCAGTGAGATAGCGGTTTCTAAGCAGCGATGTTGGCTTTCCACTTTGCAGTATGGCCACAGCAATTCGACAATCTCGGTATGCTCTCCTTCGACTGCGAGCTCGAGAATGCTATGTCCTTGCCCTTCCACGCGAGCTCCTCGGGCAATCAGAATTTTGCATGCATCAGAATGGCCGCTTTGTACGGCGAACCAGAGAGGGGGCTTCCCATTTTTGACAGCGGCATTGACATCGCACCCTTTCTCAACCGCAGACTCTATACCTTCAATGTTGCCCTGCCTCGCAGCTTCATAAAGATCCATTGTTCGAGCTTCGCTTATTATGATTTAGTTTGATTTGACTGAGCAGGAGATTTGCAGGTTGCATCTGTCTGAGTTCTGTGTTTAGAGATTTTTCTTCCACTAACACGAAGGGGTAGGACTTAAACGATGTGACATGTACGTTCGGATTAAATTAGAGACTTGATCCGGGCGCGTAGAGAGGTGACATGGTTGGGCTAACGAAAAGCAGGGGGCCTATTGTAAAAATGATAATCAAAAGTACAACTTTTCTCCACTTTCAACTCTATGCCTTTGGGTAGAGCTGTAGTAGTGAATGGGAAAGTAGTACCCGTTGAAGGGCCGAGTTCGAACACGACACGACACATTGCTGTCCAGCACATTCAATGTTGGCTAAATAACAAGAAGAAGGGCGCTAAGTGATTGGTCAAGGAACTGCTGTGTTGTCCATTTCATCACAGGCATGAAACCTAAACGAGATTGAGATATGCGGCAGACCAAACTCACTCTTCTTTACATGTACCTGGATTCGTCGTGACGCTCAATTCCCAGTATTACCCCCCCTGAGGCATAGATGCCCACGATCCCTCCGTTCAGGGTCCATGTCGGTTAGTAAATTTTCTTTTAGCTTTTCATTTTCTTTCCCATATATAGTTCGATGGGTCTGAGGAATGCTCGAAGACTTTAGACCAGGGCTTTTGTTGTGGTCTAGTGGTAATAATTATTTCCCACATATATTGTAGATATGTACTCATATAATAGCAGTATATCGTGTACATCCTGGTCACCGCTTGATCCCTCACGACCTACATCAAAGACCCTTCTGCTTGACAACTAATATCCAGAGGGCAACCAGCTTATCGAAGACTTCCTTCGTCCACACCAAACATATGGATTTCTTTTCATCCACTTTACGGTTTCTGTCCTTAGGGCCAGTCAGGTTGCTTGGCGGTGAACTCCTGTTCCAACAACCAGCTGATGTTGTCTACGACGCCCCCCCCCTAACAATCGATCAGGACATTACGGTAATCCTTGGTGCTGGTGCCATAGACCTCTCGACGGCCTACTATCTAGCCCTCTCCCTGAAAGAAAATGGTACGTGTTCTTTGCCATCTCGACCAAAGGTGGTTGTGGTTGAGCCGTCGCATGATATCTCCCCCGGGGCATCTGGCGGTGCCACAGGAGGATTAGGCGACCTCGGATTTAGCGACGCAGTTGTACCTTGAAGGGGACTTTCCTACAGGCTACGTAAGGAAGTGGCTTCGGCTTACCAGGGAAGAAAGGATTGGGGCTTTACGGACCAGAATATTTTCTGTGTGACACCGAAGAATTTCAAAGGAGATCTATTGCCACCCGATTCATGGGCTCCTATACCTCCTCTGGAAACGGATTTATCTAGCCTACCCGACTGGATAAAGTCTTCTAACCACTGGTCAGCGCAATTGCTCGCGCCTATGCCTCACTCCTCTCACATGTATGTGTTTCACAACATGTGAAAGGAATCTATTAACCATGTGGTATGAATAGTGACCCGGCACGTTTCTGCCAGTTCTTATACAAACAATGTCAAGATTTGGGGGTGCAGTTTCGCTTTAATTCTGCCGTTCCCTCTGTCCAGAAAGCCGATAATACCGAGAGTTTTCGCAGCGTTACTATTGAGTCCAGCACGCCTAGCCAGACTTCTGAGGTTATTCCATGCAATGCTTTGGTGATTGCACCCGGACCTTGGTCCCCCAATGTATTCTCTAGTCTGTGCCCAGAAGCGGTTGTGAAACCTTCGCATGAATACCACTTGGTCAGCTGGAAATCATGTCCCGGTTCGCAATCCACGCCCGGGGCTACCTGATGAACAAGCCAATCCGACTCAGGTTTTTCTGAACAATGTTCTACCGGACTCCGATACCATGGATATAACTTCCTTCCTTGATGGTTCCTTATACTTGGGAGGATGGGGCGCAATTCCAGAGCTTTTACCAGAATATGCAGACAATGTCAAGCCGCAACAAGCAGAGATTGATGCCTTATTGAAAACGGCCCGTCAGTATCTGTCCCTAGAACCGGACGAGGTCCTGGAGGCATTTGATATCGGTCGTTGCTATCGTCCACACGCTGTACCCGACAGACCAGTTATAACAAGAGTTAAATGGTCTCTTCTGGGATATTTGAAGGACTCGCAGAGGACGGGCTATTCCTGCTCCAGGGACCCAGTGGGCCGTAAACCAGCCGTAATAGGGGGGCTTTATATCAATACTGGATATAATAACGATGGAATGACACTCGGCCCGGGAAGTGGAAAGGTGATGAGTGAATTGATTTTGGGATGAATGCCTTCCGCGCCGGTTTTCTCGATATAGAGTCTTAGTCGGTTATTTGAGGTTTCTAAGGTTGTTCATTTATGGAAGAGTTATTGGTGAAATTCCATATGCTATCCAACAGAAACATGGATAATGACGTCCCAACACTGTCTTTCCAATTACCTTTCCACATCAGTCACTTTGATCACGGTTCTCCTCTCAGTAGGCTTATACCCGGGGTTCAATATCTATCTCAGCAGGGATGAAAAAGATAAGCCACGCTGGTGTATTATATCTAGTGCAGTCTGGCAAATATATTTAGTTCACACTTAATGCAACCTGTAACTACGCAACTATTGACCCTTAGCCAACGCGATGACCTTCTTTGCAGCCTCCTCAAATCCATCAAATGCATGCAAAGGAAGGCCACTCTCCGCAATCTACAAACATGCTAATTAGCAACTAGACAATGGTAGGTGGACAACCAGACCAATACTTACCATCTTCTGTCCCAGTTCCTCATTTGTACCTCGCAGCCGCACGACCACCGGAACTTTCATATTCAAATCTCGGAAGGCCAAGATAATCCCCTCGGCAATCATGTCACAGCGAGTCAGTCCGCCAAAAATATTGACAAAGACGGCTTTGACGCGCGTGTCCGAGCAAATCACGCGAAATGACGCCTTGACAGTCTCCGAAGTAGCCTTGCCGCCGGTGTCAAGGAAGTTCGCGCAGTGGCCGCCGTGGATAGTAAGGGCGTCGACCGTGTTCATGGCAAGACCGGCTCCATTGACTGCGCGATATTGTAAGCAAACGGCCTTTTCTTTTGAACGAGACATAGACCAAAATACATACCAAGTGTGCCCACACTGCCTTCGCCTTCCAACCTACTGTATGTTAGCAGAGATGCAGACAAACCTGGGAGTCATTGATGTTTTTCTACATACTTGACGTAAACAATTCCGTCCTTTTCGGCTTCAATCTCCTCCGTGACCTCTTCGGATATATCCCGAAGTCTGTGGATATCTTCCTGTCTACCGGAGCTGCGGAATGCAGCATCGTCGAAGCCAAAACGCGCACCATGGATCTCCAAAGTACCATCAGCAGAGATGCCAATCTGCGTCTCCAGCGTAAATGCTTCCTTTTCCTTGTAAATTTCCCAAAGGGCTTGAACGAAACCGGTGAGCTGCGTCTGAGAAGAGGCTGGAAGACCCAGATGCGAGGCAATAGCAGCGATGATGGAGCTCTCGAATCTGGTCTGAGTATAAGGGAATGCAAATTTCTGCGACTGAGTTGGGTTAAATTCGGAAGTTGGCGAGGCAATGATGCATGGCGACAAAGCTGTTCGGTCGACTGTAATAGAAACAGAAATAGAACTATCAGAGCTGGAAATCGATTCATTGGCAGGTACAGACTTCTGCTTGAGGATATCGAATGCCTGGAACTGCTTGATGTACAGATTACGCTTGTGTCCAGCTGTCGGTCTCGGGATTGGCGTGACTCGTCTTATGGTATGAAAGCCACGTTTCTGTGAGCTAGTCCCGGGCATTGGCTGTGGGGATGTCAGTACACCTCAGATCGATTCTTTAAAGAGGCACACTCACACTTATACCCGACCGGCTAGACTGGTTAGCAAACAAAGTCTTCATACTTTGGCCGAACTTCTCGGGGTGGTTGACCATGACCGCGCCAGCACGTTCAAGTGCTTTATACTTAGTTTCCGCATCTGGTTCCCCGGGCGCAGCCCAGGCACCGGCATGTCCCATAATCCGCCCAGGAGGTGCTTCCAGCCCCCCAACAAGCGCCATAATGGGCCTATCCCATATCAGCACTGCATTGAAAAAGTCCATAGACGAAAAGAATAAAAGATAAATAACTTACTTGGGATCCACAGTCCTCCTTCGATAGTCCTTAATCCACTCAGCGGCATCCATCTCCGCCGTACCCCCAATCTCACCAACCAAGATAATACCCCGAGTATCAGGATCATTCTCAAAGATATTGAGGGCATCGACAAAGTTCGTGCCAGCCAGCACGTCACCGCCCATACTAATACAAAGACTCTGACCAAGTCCAGCCCGAGTCGTCGAGGCGACGGTCTCATAACTCAGTGTCCCAGACTTAGCCACGATGCCGACATTGCCCGGCGCAAAGCAAGGCAATGGCTGGAAGCCGATTCGGCACTTGCCAATGGCAGATATAATGCCTGGGCAGTTTGCACCTACCAGACGGGTCTTGGATTGCGTTTGTAGCATGGAATGGATCTGTAATACTGTTAATAAAAATACACTTCAACCCTTCCCAGAACGATTAACAATTAACCGCAAGTCATACCCGAAGGATGTCGTGGATCGGCACATGTTCCGCCACAGCAACGACCAGTGGAATTTCGGCTTCAATAGCCTCTTCGATGGCTTTTGCGGTTTGATTTCCCGGAACATAGATTGCAGATGCATCAGGCTTTGCACGTTCTTGGGCCTGGTGCTCATTAGCCAACTGGTCAGATTACATCCTCTCTAACAAAACAATCAGTCCAATACTCATACCGCTTTGACGGATGGGAAGACTGGTAGGCCTAGATGTTCGCCTTCAACCCCAGGCTTGACGCCTCCAACGATTTTAGTGCCCCATTCAAGAGACTCCTTGACATTGGCGGTCGCCTGTCTTCCTGTGACGGAGATTAGCATTCCATGGCATTCCATTGCGGGACCCGTCTCAATTGAAACAAACAGGAATAATTACCTGTAAATCCCTGGAACAATACTCTGGTATGAGCGCCAATCTTGAGGTTTGGTAGAGTGTCCGCATAACTGGCCGTGCGGGGGGTGTTTGTGAAGCGCCTTGTTAGGGGGGCCCGTAACTGGGGCGCCCGTTTTGGCAGGGCGTACAGAGTCATGGTGTTCACGGTGGAATACACATGCAGATTGGTGTGATTCTATAGCTGGAATGAATTATGTACGGTGTTAATTTCAAAATCAGATATGTATGTCAAGAAGCCTATTGAGCCAAGTCGGCTAATCCGAGCTTTCCCCACATTTGCCGAGGAAGTTTTATACTCCGCATCTTCAGAGTTCCCGATTTTGATAAGAATGAGACGTAGTAAATATAAATTCATAGTTCGTTCTAATTGAAACTAGATATGACTCCCTTCCGCTCCAACGCTACAAGATCAATATTCATTCAGATGAAGCTTCTTCCCCACAAACCTGCGCCTAGCAGGCTTCTCGCCACGTTGTTCCCGTTCCGCATTGAGGCCCTTAAGCGCATGAAGAAGCATACCAGCATCAAAGAAGCCATCTAGTAAGACAGTAAGTTAGCAAAAGAGCCGCAAAACCAAAGGCGCAGAAAAGAGTAGAAAACTTACACCCTCCCATTCCATCATCCTCCATAAAGCTACTATCAGCAGCCGAAGTAGGCGTATCAGCACCCTGTGCACCCCCACCTCTTACAAGTCGACCACGCCGATGCGACTCGGACTGCAAGCTCTCCGCAAGCGCCTCGGTTTCTCTCGCCCGACTAGTACGCGGACTCATCGTCTTGCGATTCGTCGTGCGCAACAACTTTCGAATCTCAAACAGATACGACTCAAGCGTGTGCATAAGACGGGCGGTCTGTCTGTGCTTGGAGCTCGCGCAGATCGAGATCGAGTCGTCCTTGATAATGTAGCCGATACCGAAGCCGTCGGCGGACGTGGGACCGAAGCCGAAGTGTCGCAGACACGGGTTTCCACAGTTCGAGGTCGACAGCACGGTGTTGTTGATCTTGTCCCAGCCGGCGTCGGCGAAGATCGCGGGTGTCGGCGTGGATGTTGTACGGTAAGCGCGTGTGCTGCTTCCAGGCGAGGAGAGGCCGTCGTCTGAAGGGGAGGAGGAAGAGGGTTTCGGTGATTCGGGGCCCTGGCTTTGGGTTTGGGATAGCGTTTCACCAGGGCTGGAGTACCCGCCTGTTGAGCTGGTGTCCGGGAAGAGGCCTTCGTCGAAGGAGCGCTGCCAGAGGCAGTAGAGGGCGTAGAGGTGGCGGTCCGGGCCTTGGCCCTTTGAGCATTCCTTGGTGGCGGCAGTGTGTTTTTGGCATGCGGCTCGGAGGGCGTCGACCTTCTGTTCGGCGGTATTCTCGCCCCAGAATGCTGTGACAAAGTCTATGGACTCGGGTGTTACGGTGCGCACGGCTTCCGTGCGTCCGTGCAGGAACATCTTTGTCATGGCTGGTTCGTAAGTGTTCTCGACTCGGCCGTAGAGGCCGTAGTAGGCGGCCTGGAAGGCCATCTGGATGAATGCATCCGGAGAGAAGCCCATTGAGGTTATGAAGTTCTTGCCGAAGCCTTCGAAGTCCAGGACTTGGAATTCGTGCTGGCAGAGAAGGTCGGACAGGTGGGATTCGGCGAAGCGGAGCGCGATGTTAAGCTCCGGTGTCATGTCCCATTCTAGTTTGCGCGGTGTCGTGCTGACGTTTCCGAAACTTTGCGGGTCGCGCTTCGCTGGGTCGGGGCTGCTGGTTGCCCATAGGCTCGGGGATTGACCGTTGATGGTCCTTGCGAAGCGGAGGATGGTGTCGGTGTACACGTCGCTGGCAAAGCGTAGCACCGTGTGACCATCCACACCGGTATGCTCGAAGTTGATACCTGCACTGCCGTTCTTGCAGACGATAATCTGCAGCTTGTCGTACCACCGGTTGGTGCAGGTCCCAACCTGGACTCCCTTGACGACCTCGCTTGTGCCACAAAGCATGTTAGCACAAAGCTCGGCCGTGTTGGATGGCTCTGTGCCGTCCAGACATAGGACAAAAAGCGCGGTATCGACAATGTTCAAACACTCCGCGTTGTTAGATCTGGAATCTTTAGTCATGATATCGCGTAGCCCCGACCAAACCTTCCGATTCTCGGTGCTGAGTACACCCAAAGCACCCTTGGCAGCCTCATGTAGCGGAGTTTGAGCCGCGTCTTCAATGATTGCCTGCAGGTTAAGCGAGATATCCTTTTCAGTCATGATCAAATCGCTATTGTCATCCAAGACGTCAAACCAGTAGAACTGCCCCCGACACATAACGACCATGTGTTTGGCCGAGGGGTCCTGGCTAATTACACAGCCATTATCGGTAGGCAGACGTGCCGTTCCAAAAAGCCGCGAGTATTGATACATGCAAAGAGGCGTTCCTCTCACATTATCAGGAGGCAACTCCTCTCGACGCACAGCTCGAACAAATGCCAATGCTGAAACCGCCAGTGACGCAGCCCGGGTCACCTGGTGATTTCTGGCGGGAGTCGGATCGTCCTCCAAAAGGAAAAATGGATTGAGGTTCAAAACAACAGCTGCGATTGTTAGATGCGCGCAAAATAGGCCAAGCAAGAAATCCAACTTACGGTTATCAAAATTTAAGTAAGAATCATACCCTAGAAATGGTCAGCTGACCTCTCATCCCATCATTAATTCTGAATAGACTTACAAAATTGCTCAATATAGCTCGTCTTTGAACCAGCATAAGTCTTAAGCCGTTCTTGCAGAAGAGGACCGTCGTTCTTTAAAAAGTCCCGAACAGCAGCCTTGGTCTCTTCATGATCACGCATGCTCTGCAAGCCCTTCAGAGTATCTAAGTACCTGCGACAAGTATCCTCTAGATCGGGAATAGGAAGCTTAGGCAGCGAATCCTGGTTTGCAAAAGTCAAGCCCCGGCTCTTAGGCTTGAGGAGCTCAGCAACCTCAGAGGAGGGGTGGTCAGTAGAGACATTCGGTCTCATGACCGTATGGCCTTGGGGGTCAGACCCTGACTTTTTGCTTGTGTCGGCGTCCATGGGATCGCCAAGTGGTTTGGGGGCTGTGAAAAATCGGACTGCCATTGAGGAGTAAGACATGATATTAGATGTGTTCAACCTCTCGGGGCAATAAAATCAGGCGTAGCGACTAGCGAGAAATGTGGGAATTGAGAGGAGGCGTAGGGCTGTGCGATAGAAGTAGTGGCAGTCTTGGAGGCAGTATGATGGCATTGAGACTATGTCATGTGCAGATGCAGATAGATGGGCAAGGGACAAGAGGATGAAAATAAGATATATGCGAGTATATGAAAGTCACGAGATGGAGATCGCGAAGAGATAAGAGAGAAACCGGGAGTGGCAAGAAACAGGAAGAGAGCAGGATAATTTTATATGGGGGGTTTATAGAGTGATCCCGACGGGTGTGGATCCGGCTCGGGCCTAAGGGGAAAAGGAAAATGACCATAGATTGAGCACAGGACTTACAGCGCACTGTACAATAATGCAAATGGTATGCAACCCCGATATGCGGGTTGGTGTGACCGGATGATACGGTGGAAGAACGGAATGATAGCGCCGGAGAAACGGATGAATTTTGCTGTGCCGCTTGTCAGATGTCAAATGGCTGCCAAGAAAAGAACCCCATAGACAAGTAGCCTATCGTCCCCACAGAGGCCCTTCAAATATCGGAGACTCTGAGAGTGTGCAATATGTAAACATCACACCTCGAGCCGATTCCATGATGGGAATGAGATTTGCCTTGGGAGCCCCTCACCACGTGGGGGGAATTCAAAGGGAAATGATAGGGTCGGATAGACTAGGCTAAGAACTTACTTCCAAGGTTAATGTCAATCACTGAACCCTGCACGTTGCTGCAGATATCTTGGCTCGGGATAAAGATGTACAAGAAAGCTTGAAATCCGTTGAGGTTGAGAGATTAAGGTCGAATAACTGCACATGTGTTCAATAAAGATAAAAGAAGAATCTCGGGAGGAAGTAGTTTACAGTGTACCCGACACAGAAGTTCTTAGAATTTTGAAGTATATCGGCATGGGCTCTCTCACTTGTCCGAATGACGTTTCGGTCGAAGGGACCGGTCATGCGGGGAAGCTTGGGGTCACGTGAACACAGCGTCATAGAGCTAAAAACATATCACTACTACAACTACACTACGATAAAAAGTCCTACGATTTTCTGGGGTGAGGATGTTGAGAAGACTTCATGATACGCTGGGGTTGCACACGGTACATCACGCTCGCAAAAGGAAAAAAATATGACGCCAGAGATTTTGTTATCCACAGGATGAACCGCAACACAGAAGTGGCGGAAGACACAGAATCAAAGAATATTCACAATGGAACAATAATATCTGCATTGCCATGAGTCCTCCAAAGGAGAAGGACGAGGCACGCTTGCATACATACAGTATGGGTCACTGATCGAGGCAGGACATGCAAATGATGAAGAAGGTAAAAGACAAGAAGACAAATCACATGGCGCAAAGCGAATGGGGAGAAACGTTGTTTGAGAGAACATGATCAATGGGCTTAGATCGCCCCACACAAGAGAAATATCCGATGTGGCATTCTCAAATCAACAGCTCCACATATCCCGAGACGTTTATGCACTGTTCGGCTTCAAGACGTTGTCGGCGTACTCGCCGGCATAGTTACCGGGGGAGCCATAGTTGCAGACAGTGTAAGGGGCGGGACCACCGACATTCTTCAAGTCAGAGCAGCTAACGGTGGCGCAACCGACTTGCGAGGTGCCCTTCCAGACGATCTGAGTGAAGTGGCCCCATTTAGAGAAGTTCGACATATCAGGGCTGTCCTGACCGTAGAGGCTGGCGAAGTAGGGCGCCTCATCGGTGTACATCATCTCGCTGATGATCTTCTCTCCAACCTGTGCCTCATCGTAACCGTATGCGATGTTTTGGCCGTAGGATCCGCTGGCGGACGGAATGGAACTAGTAATGTCAGTATGATTGTTTCCTTAAGCAAAACGAAGGAATACTTACGTGTCGTGTCCGTACTCGCAACGCGAGGCGAGGGTGTGGGCAGCTTGCGCGAGGTCATCGGACCAGGTCAAAGCGCTGGAAGAGTGGTCGCTGCGGTGAATGTTGTGGTAGTGCAGGACGGACTCCTGGTAGGAGTTGGCAGCGCTGGGAGCGCTGGGAGCGGCAGTGGCAGCGGCGGTGGTCGACGTTGCCGAAGAGGTAGCGACGGGGGCAGCCGAGGGGGTCACAGGCTGGATTTCGGCTTCGGTGGCCGAAGACGAGGTGGTCGCGCTACTGGGTTCAGCAGCCTCAGCCTCGGGAGCAGGAGTAGCGGCCGCAGGAGGTGCGGACTCGACGGTGGTCTTCTTGGTAATATCGACGGTGTTAAGGGCAGCGTTGGCAGGCTTGCTGTGCTCCTGCTTGACCAAAACAGCAGTGCTAGGGGCGTTGGTGGGCCACTGGGTGACAGTCTCGGTGATGGTGGTAGTAGTCCACTCGGTCACATAAACCTCCTTCTCAATAACCCTAGCACAAGCGCCAACCGCCAAGGCGGCAAAGATGACAGCAGAACGCATTTTGTAATTGAAGACAAAGGAACTTCTCCGGGAAGTCTGTGAAGAGAGTCGGGATTGGGTCAAGCAGATCGACTGCGTTGACAAAGGAGTGTGTACGTTTGGAAATAAATGAGTGGCAGGCCTCGAAACACCTTCTTTCTTCAAAGAGTGAAAGAAAGATAAGATGCAGGCTGAAAAGATCGGATGGAGAGGAGAGGGAGAGGAGAGAAGAGGAGGATAATGTAAATAATGTAGAAAGGGGAGATGAGGAGGGGGCCCGTGCGAACAAGGAGGATATTAATTTAAAATGAAGTCCGAATGAACTTGGAGATTGAAGGATGTTAATTATTTTATAAATTATTTATTTGAACAACTTCAATGGCTTTCTCCTGTACTTATTCCCCAATTTCCAGCCTCTTGAGATTTGAGCATACCTCAGTGTGGTATAGTACATACATTCCAAGTCCTAGATACCATTTCGCACAGATTATGAGGCTGGTGATTTGGACATTAAGCAAATATTCTCCGAGATTTTATCTGTAATTTCGTTTAAAGTATTAAGGATATGGATATAAATTAGAAAGTAAAAACTGAAATTAAGAATTAGGGTATGATGTGTGATATGTCCTTTGGATCCATCGTCTGGACCATTATGGAGTGGATGTGCTCCGTAGTACGTACTGCTGATCAGAAGAATGAAAGGAAATAGAGTAATTAAAAGTACCGAGGGTTTCACCTGAAAAGTCGTACTCCATACGGAGTCCTGCCATGAAAAATAAGAGCAAATCGAGATCTTAGCTGTGTGATCGAAGCCAGAGGACAACATTGGAAGCCCCTGAAAGTGTCCACCCGTAGCTTGACAACCAATCACAAGAGCTCATGAGAAAACAAAACATCCCCATCACACCCACTTCTCCCGCTAAGAAACTTGGCTTGGAGGCCGATTCGGTAGTCTGAACGGGCGGATCTGACATAAATTAAATCAGTCAATCTCGTTTCAGCCACTCATTTAAGACGGATTCAAAGTATTCTCCGGAATATGTACGGAGTATCCGGCATCAAAATGAGAATTGCCTGTTTTTCAAGCTTCGACATATTGAGTTTAGGTCGCTAGCTCGCTTCCAATATTCCAAAGTTATGGATCTGAAGATCAACCTTGGAAAACCACCTGGGCGTTATCATGCGCTGGGACAACCAATCAGAGCGAGACACCCGTTGGCGCATCCACGGGTCATGGTGGGACAGGGCGCGTATACATTCAAGGGGGAATCCAAACATCATATTTTTGGTTCTACCTGTTCATATCCATGTTGTACGGAGTCTCCGTACAGAGTATTCCGTTGGTAGATTCTAGTCTTCAACATGCACCTCCACCTTTCCGGCATTTGAGCCCAGGGTCCACAGTCTAGAGGGGCGGCAGGGGATCCGCTCTGAAATAACGTAAAGCGTGCAATACCCAACCCAACGTCCAAGAACGCCACACAAAACACTCCTGATGTTAACATCGAAAAAAAAAAATAGCAAACTCATAGCGCTCGCCTAGAGATCAATAGTTTGGCATCGCCCCGTCTCACAAACCATCAAATAGTTCTTGGCCGGCTCGGCAGCCTTTAAATCTTGAAAGAGCACATTTCGGGATTTAAGCCAAAAGGACTGGTTCCCCACAAAGTCTTTCAGATGCGAGGGGCGAATGTCGACAATTGAAGTGACCACGATAGACGAGGACACGGCCACGCCGGCCTCAGCCCGGACCCGTTGCCGGATTAGCTCAAGTGCCGACACGGGCTCATCATTCCGACTAAGGAGAGAGTCGCCACGTGGATTAGGAATCGAGGAGACATCGACGGTGGAGAACACACCCGTCACCGTGCGAGTACCAATTTGAAGGCCTACGATCACGTCCAGCATTCCTACGAACAGGAAGGGGTGCTGGATGATCTCCACCGCGAAGGTGTTGCACGTCTGCCGGGCCAAGGTCCGGTAACTCTCATCCCCGAGCAGAGCGGATAGGCGCAGTAGATTACGCGCAATAACTCCGTTTACCGAAGGCGTTGCTGACTCGGTGCCGGTCTTCAAACGGAGGAGCGGTCCAGGCATGCCAGGGGTGGTGACGGATGGTGTGCTGTAGTATCCGGTAGCTGTAGAGCCACTCTGAGCCAAAAAGTATTCATTGAGGTACTCTAGAAACACCAAGTTAGCCAGTAATCCCTTTAAAAGCAAAGGGGCTATCCACTCACTTTGCAGTCGCTCGGCAAATTGAAGATAGCTGTCGTCGTAAGTAGCGTCGTACATGTCGAGCAGCCCGCTAGCCAAGTATGCGTAGTCGTCGGCGAAACCTGGGGTGTCTCCACGATTTCCATCGCGGTAAATGCGCCATAGCTGTCCCGTAGCTTTGTCGAAGAGCTTGTCCTTAATGAAGCTGATTGCCCGTGCTGCCGCTTCGCGACAATGCACAGCCTTCGAGCTCTCGATCTCTTCAAACAAAATACTACACTTGGCAAGCGCACCAATCGCCAATCCATTCCAGGCCACGATAATTTTGTCATCCAGGTCTGGCCGCACACGTGTTCGTTCGCGGTGATCGTGCAACTTCTGCTTTGAAGACTTGATGATCTTAACCACTTCTTCCTCGCTAAGGCCAAAGTCTTTAGCGAGTTTGCTCGGCGTCGCACGGATGGACAACACGTTTTGGTTCATGAACTCATCATGTGGGTCGTACTCGGGTGGAACGTTGCCGTCAGGGAGAACACCCCAGTGTTTGGCGCAAACTGGAGCATCCCGAGGGCCGAGGACTGATGTGAGTTCTTTCAAAGACCAGACATAAAAGGCACCCTCCCGTTTTTCGGTGTCATTTGGATGAGGGTAACTGTCGGCATCTTCCGAGGAAAAGAACCCTCCGGTGGGCGACTGTATCGGGGCGCTCGTCAAGTAGGCAGACAGATCATAGACAGCGCCTAAAAGCTCTGGGTCATGAGTGAGCCGGAAAGCGTCCACATAGACATCCAATAGCTGTGCCTGGTCATAAAGCATCTTCTCGAAATGGGGGAGACCCCAGTCCGCCGTCACGCTATACCGTGCGAATCCGTGGCCGATGTGGTCCCGAATGCCACCACGAGCCATGTTCACTAGTGTCGTGACAGCCATCGCGGTAGCTTTTTCACACTCATCACGCCCTACAACATCCATGACTTGGGTTGGGTAGGCACCGAGCCGGAGTAGGAAGCTGAGGTTGGACGGTGTAGGAAATTTGGGTGCGCGGCCAAACCCGCCATTGACCGAGTCGTATCGAGACGCGAAATGCTGATACGCTTCTTCTAGAAGCTCAATATCCATTTCCTCGTCCTTATCATTATCGCGGTCACCTTGCTGCGTGTGCGTCCCTTCCTCGGCAAACTCTCTCAATTGTTTGGTGATTTCCTTAGCGCTATCGAGACAACGTTGCTGTTGTGTCTGCCAGACATCTCTCAATTTTTCTAAAATCTCAACGAATCCGATTGCCTCGGGCCCTGTAAATGTGGTTGAATTTGGGCCTTGCCAGTAAGTGCCACCAAACACGGGCTCGAGGTTAGGAGTCAAAAACACATTCAAGGGCCAGCCACCAGAACCCGTTGTGGCCTGGACATAATTCATGTAGACGTCGTCGATATCTGGTCGCTCTTCGCGATCAACCTTGATCGGGACGAATGACTCGTTCAGAATCGAGGCCACCTCTGATGACATGAACGACTCCTTTTCCATGACATGGCACCCTAGACAAGATTAGAATACCAATACCCTCACTAGAGTAGTTGTGACCTACAATGACATGCGGAGTAACCGATACTAAGAAAGATCAAACGATTGTGCTTCTTGGCAAGCTCCATAGCTTCTGCATCCCAGACTTGCCATGCTACCGGATTGTTCATATGTCCTCGGACCTGCTATTCCGTGAGCATGTTGCAATTTCTCTCAAGGTAACACATCTCTCACATAGGGGGATTTGCTTTGCTGCAAGCGATTGACCATCTTCGGGCCTGCGTCGGGTACATCGTGACGCGGATGTGACTGATTGATCGAGGCAGCCATTGCGACTGAATTTCGAATACTTTTGCTGGTCGGAGAGTAGACGTCCGTCAGCCCGAGGCCCAAGAGGGGTTACTGGCAGGTTCCGATAGGTAGCACAGTACCTAGGCACCCAACTTTAGAAGCTACCCCACGTGCGATCAAGTCCAGATAGGGTATAAATGGCTGGCACAAATAGTATCTCTTAACCGGTGAGGCAAATGGGCAGGGTTGGAGCGGGTTGGAGCGGGTTGAAGCGGGTTAGAGCGTGTCTTGAAGGATAAAGTCGTGTGCGACCCAGCGCTATTTAGGCGGGGGAGTCGAGGCGAGGGTCGAGGTCGCGGGAGATCGGCCCTGTGCGTCATGGCTGCATCAGGAATGTCACGTGATCCGTACTATACAGTTGCCGGAGCACTGTGTTATGTATTGTAGACAGCTTTGTATAGTCTATATTGTATGGTATTCGGTGCACTGTACATGTCTTTGCTAAGTATATACATACTTAAAACATAATTGGGTATCACATCATCTAATCGTCTCCCATTAGCTCTGCCAACTCTGCCTCTTCCTCCGCCGTTAGCATTGATTCGGCTGGCTTTTCCTCCTCCTTCTCTTCTTCTGTGGGCTTCTTTGCGAGTTCCACTGCTTGCTGAAGTTCATCGGGTTGAAGGGACCATTGGCGAACAGTCGCATCAATTCCCACGCTGACAATGGTTGACCCTACAAGCACAAGCCCAGTGACCTCTTCGAAGTGGCCAGAGAAAGTATGATGGAGTGCTCCGGTCTGTTTTAATCAGCATATATGCCATAGGAATACTGAAAAAGAAAGAGGCCCTTACCGATCGGTTCCACACTCTAACCTCCTCGTCCCGACAGGCAGTCACAACCCAGCCTCCCGTTTCATAGACGACAATATCACGGACAAAGTCAGGATGCTCTAGGGTCAGATTGGCCTTCCATCCATCCTGTCGAACCAAGCACTTGGCGGTTCTGTCAGCGGAGGCAGTCCAGAGATCACCGTCGTTATCAAAAAAGAGCTTGTAGACACTAGTGTCATGTGGAAGGAGAGGGTCAGCAGTACTACCCCCGCCAAAGATACTAAATTGGCGGATCTCTCGGTCACTTCCTGCGCTAAATACGACTGGTTGGGTGCTCTCCGATTCTGGGTCAAGGGCAAGGTCCTGGATGCCGCGAGAGTGGCCCTTGAAGGTCTCCAACCGCTCACCACTTGTGATATTGAACACCAGGACTTGCGCATCGGCACCACCAGAGATGAGCAGGTCATCCCCTAGTAGTCTTGCACTTGTGACTGATCGAACAAAATCGGCATGGCCTTCGTACTTCTGGCGTGGCTGGCCCGTAGCCGTGTCCCAGCTCCAGATAGCTTTGTCCCAGCACCCGGCAAACAGGAGCTTACCATCGGGACTCAAACAAAGACTAGTTACGGGGGCCATAGGACCTGTAAATGCCCTAGCTGTTTCTCCTGTCTGTAGAAATGTGAGAACTTCGGATTTTGAGACAGTTTGAGACTACTGGTACACTTACGGCAAGGATGATCCTTCTCACAGTGCCATTGCTTTGCGCAACATAGATCGATCCAGTATTCCAAGGGTCTGGATGAGCTGCTAGGATCTTGCCCTGCAGTCGAATAGGGTTTCCATTGGTATTCTGGGACTTGGCATCTTTCCGCTCGTGCTCATCCAAAGATGCGCTGTGAGGGACGTCAATTAACACTTTTTGATTCACAGGATCAGAGAATTGTTTTCACTCACGATGTCTGAAAGAAATGATCTCGGTTGGAAGATGCCGTCATCGTGTCTCAAGTCTCTAAAAAAATCAAGTCAAACGTAAAAGCAGCTCTCATTTTTCCCAGTCAACTTCTTCCCCGCCAACTACAAAATTGCTATCTGAGCTTGCGTCGTCCACCGTAGCCCGTATCCTCCACAAAACCACAGAATTTGCGTTTCTTCTCCCTTCCCTTCTCTTCCCAACCTCCGATCTCGTCTCTTCAAATCTCTCCGTTTCCTATTGTTTCCCTCCGTATCCTTCATTTTGCTTACCCCGCGCGAAATCGCGCACAGCTGCCATGGAAATGAACCACCTCATAGGGTCAGTCTGAACCTTTTCGGAGCCGAGGTGGTCGGGAGTTAACATCTGGCAGTCAGCGTTTCAACCTGATCTCCAAAAGTGATATTCGGTGAGTCTATCGAGACATTCAATTGCCTTGTCCACAATTAATTATCTTTCAGCTATGTCGGTACTCTTCACGAAATCAACCCCGAAGCTTCCACGATAGCTCTCGAGAATGTCATGTCATTCGGCTCAGAAGGGCGCCGTGGCAACCCCGCTGAAGAAGTGCCCCCCTCTACCAGTGTGTACGAGTACATCGTCTTTCGAGGAAGTGATGTGAAGGACATCAGCATTGCTGGGGAGGAGCAAAAGGAGCCCGCACCGCAAGAAGCACCTCGGGTACCAGAAGACCCTGCCATTCTCGGGGTAAGTCAACCACAGCTCCTTCCTCGATCCACCACGTCGTCCCGCACAATAAACCAGCGCCCATCGCCTCGGCGAATTGATCAAGTGACGAAAAATTCTCGGATGTAAACTCACAGACCTGTTCTGAATGCGCAAAACCGTGTAGAGATTTCCGTTGCCTTCCTTCTGATGATCAATTCTCCATCTTGGACTTTGGACTTGTTTTGTGTGTCACTGTGTATACAGTGCTGACTAGCGCAAATAGGGCGCACAACGACCCGTTCCTACGCAAGGGCCTGACCCGGGACCTGCTCCCCAGAATCTTCCTCCCCAGGGCCCTCCCCAGCTGCCCCAGGGAGCTGGCCCAACTCCTCCCGGTTATCCCCCGCAGCACCAATTCCAGCAAGGTTTCTATCCTCCCTACGGACAGCGATTTGGACCACCTCCTCCATTCCCTCCTGGTCCCGGTTTCCCACCGTATGGTGCTCCGCCCGGATGGTACCCCCCTCCAGGCCATGGATTCCCTCCTGGCCCTGGTCAATTCCAGCCGCCGATGCCCATTGGTCCTGGTCAGCAGCCTGGACCTCAGCAGCCTGGACCTCAGCAGCCTGGACCTCAGCAGCCTGGACCTCAGCAGCCTGGACCTCAGCAGCCTGGACCTCAGAAGCCTGGACCTCAGCGCCCGGGACCTCCCGGTGCCCCACCCGCAGCTAAGCCTACTTCAGAGCTCCCGGTCGGGGATAAGTCCACGAGCGGTAACGCAACCCCGGCCACTCAGAACGCTCCCACTCCTCCAATCGAGTCCAAGCCTACTGTATCTGAAGCTCTGCAAGCTCCTGTCAGTTCTGCTCCTCTGGCTGCTGTCCCTCAGAAGAATGGCCGAGTCATGCCAGCTATTCCCATCGCGGCCCCAAAGCCTACTCCTACGACCGCCCACATTCCTACCGCCCCTCGGGGAAATAACCAGTCTATCACTGATGCCACCGCGGCCGCCACTGCTGCCGTTGCTGCCGCTATGGCCAAGTTGCCGCAACCTGGTGCTCAGAAGCAAGCTGGGCAGCCCGAAGGTGGCGTGGACGCGCTTACGCAGCAGATGAACCACATGCGCCCTTACGACAACACCCGTCCTCCCCGAGGCGGCCACCACCACCCTCGTGGTGGACGCGGCGGTGCTCGTCCTCAACATCAGACCAAGAAAATCGAAGTTCCCCAATCGGATTATGATTTCCAAACCGCAAACGCGAAGTTCAACAAGCAGGATTTGGTGAAGGAGGCCATTGCCACTGGGGTGCCTGTTGCTGAAGCCGAGGCCCATGCAGCCGAGGAGGCAGAATCCATGGAGGCCATGTCAAACGGCGCTGGCGTACCGAACCATGGCTACAACCGCGGTTCTTCCTTCTTCGACAATATCTCAAGTGAGGCTCGCGATCGTGAGGAGAACACCACACGTGTTGGAGGTCGTGAATGGCGCGGCGAGGAGGAGAAACGCAATATGGAGACCTTCGGACAGGGTAGCGTTGATGGCTACCGCCCCAACTACCGCGGTCGTGGCCGCGGCCGCGGCTACGGTCGTGGTCGAGGTGGTTACAGTCGTGGCTATGGCCGCGGCCGCGGGGGCCGGGTCCCCTCGGAGTCCACTGGTGTGCCATCCCAGGGTTGACCGAGATCATTTTTGATTACATGTCCTTCTAGCGATGATTGCTATCTTGTTTTCATATTTGGGTGGCAAGACCTATGACCGAAACGAATAATCACACTTGAATCTTTTCTCGTCTCTTCGGCGCAATGGCAAACTGGGGCCGGGGGCATACTGGGTTGGCCATACGATACTTCCTGCGACAGCAATCACGGGTGTTTTCTTTTCTTTCTTTTTTTTTACTGTTATCTTTTCTTTTTTTTTCTTTTTCATCTGCCACGCATACCCTTTCTGCAGCGTCTTCTGAAATTCCTGGATCTGGTGGATTCTTGTCACGTTTTCACTGCGCAGAAAATGGCGAATGCACCTCGTGCTCGCCGCATAGAGCAGATATCGTTCTTATGTGTAAACCATCTGGGGCAAATTAATTCCCTCAATGACCTAAATGAAAAAGGCAAAAACGGGGCCGAATGGCCTTCGAATCTGTTCCTTTGTAGATCTCAAACATATGTAAACATTGTATGTGTCCAGCGTTGTAATTCGCTGCACCCAAGCTTCTCTCATCGGGGCCAACCTTGGAAGGACCCCAAAAAGCAGCCCAATCTCCGTATTGTCCAGATGTCATCATGTGGGTCCCAACTGTGGAGTAGATCTCTCCATATCTTGGTTGTGAGCTCTCCCCCCTGATACATCATATACCACTCCTTTGTCCTGTACTGACCGCTTCTTATAGATTGCTAATACAGAGGGAATCACACCGCACTGTTTGCCTATGTATCCATATCCATACATACATCCTGAGATAGCTCCAATATTTGGATACGCCATTCAACAAATGGAGATCCTCCAATCTGCCTAATGTCCCCTGCTTCTACTATAAATTTGCCCCGCCAGCCATGTGTGTAACAGATAACTTTTTATCCAGTTACTGTCCGGTCACTGTGCTACATAAAAGTGCTTGAAATTGGGGAGCTAAACTCTCGGTCCCTTTCCCTCCTTGTATAACCAGTACTCCTCTTCCGCATGGCGTCTAGCAGTCTTTCCAGGCTCTCTGCCATATCGAGTCACATTCAAAATAACCCCATGTCGCCTTCCACTCAAGTTGCCAATCAATTACCTTGGGATCCTAACAGCACCAAGTTCCCTTCGCGGAAGGATCTTCCAAAACTTCCAGGTACACCCGACGGTGCCGCTTGGGTCTGGGGCAAAGATGATGAGGTGTGATGCTGCCACTCACTGGCGACATGTTTGTTCTGTTTTATGTGGCTAATTTGTCTGGTGTAAAGGTGGGCAGACTAAACCTCTTGACTCCGCAGCGGGTCAAGGCATCTGTTGCCGAGATTGATACTGGCCAGATGGTGCGACTGGAGTAAGTTGAGTGGACTATAAGATTATGCTGAATTGAAATTCCCGCTTACAAGTATCAACATCAAGCCTTCCTCTCACAGTACCCGAGCAGCCGGCTTTTAGCCGCGAGGTGTTCCAGCATAACATCAAAACGCTCGTTGATGGCGTTGCTTATGATGATACTTACACTATGAACACGCAAAGCGGGACGCAGTGGGATGGATTCCGGCATGTAAGTAATTATTCTCACTGAAAGCAAGCAAGCAAACCCACCCCTCGTACCCTGGTCTAATACGTCCATAGTTCGGCCACATTGACAGCAAGTGCTTCTACAACGGGGTATGCTCTAATCTCCCATTTTCCATCTCCGGAAACTAATCCATCAACGTCTAGGCCAAAGGCAGCGACTTTGTAGGCGAAACCGCAAACCAACGCTGCAGCATCCACCATTGGGCAACGCACGGAATCGCCGGTCGAGGAATCCTCCTAGACTACCACCATTACGCCAAAACACACAACAAGCCCTACGACCCCTACACAACACACAGCATTACCCTATCAGAGCTACAAGCATGTGCGGCCTCGCAAGGCCTGGATCTACGCCCACAGTCCGAAGGCGGCGACATCCGCATCGGAGATATTCTACTCGTACGCTCCGGCTTTGTGGAGCGATACCACGAGCTCAGTTCTGAGCAGCGGTATGCAGCTGCGACACGGTCCCACGGAGACTTGTGCTTTGCGGGACTCTCGCGCGAGCCGGCTATCCGGGACTGGCTGCATGATTGCTATTTTGCGGCTGTGGCGGGTGACTCGCCGACGTTTGAGTCGTGGCCTGTTCCTGAACAGGACTATTTGCATCAGAGCTTGCTGGCGCTGTGGGGGTGTCCTATTGGCGAGATGTGGGATTTGGAGATCCTCGCTGAGAAGTGTCGGGCGAGGGGGAAGTGGTCCTTCTTTATGACTAGTGCTCCGGCCAATATGCCTGGTATGTATCTCTCTTGTAGGCTTCGCTGGTTTATGTACTGGGTTTATGGGCTATGCTGACGTGCTGGTAGGTGGAGTTGGTTCCCATGCGAATGCCACTGCTATTCTTTAGATGGGATTTGCGGTATATCGAGGGGTAATAATAAGTGTTTCATGGTTGTGCAACACAACCCTACTTTGAACCAGTCCTACTATCCAGTTGAAGGTAAACTGGCTCTATCCTTTATGACAACTGTCTATAACCATATATATCAAGTGCAGTGTCCAACGCTAAAACATGTTAAAGATACAATAACTGCCTCTCTCATGCTTGGGCTCCAAATATTATACTTAATGCTGCGCCCCTCTTATTTGTCTAAGGAGTGGACATTTTTAAGGGAATTGTGGTTAGAAATAGGTCAGATCACAGCCTTTTTTATAACTCTCACAAGCCCCCAGGTGGCTGACCGATATAATCCTTCCAACCTTGGAAGACTTGGTTCGGCTAAACTCCGGTCCCAGAGTTGACCGATTCCGCGTTTCTCCACGTTTTGGCTCGTGTTCTAACTTCTTTTACTTCAGACTACGCAAACCCGGGCCGGATTGCCGTTCTTGTTGTCCTTGTTTTTAAAAAGAAAAAGACTTCTCTTCCACCTTCCGGTCTTACCCAAGGCACCGGATTCTCCATTCCATCATGAGCACCCAGACGCAAACAGAGACAATCGTGCTACAGACAAGAGCTTCCACCGAAGCAATTTCAGCCGAGAATGACACAGACCGAAGACCCTCAGAACCAAAATGGGTGTATGCCAAAATCCTCAGCGCAGGATTATCCTTTTTCGTCGCGGGGGTCAACGACGGAAGTCTAGGATCGATCATTCCCTACGTTATACGCACCTACGACATCGGTACAAACATGGTAGCCGTCCTGTAAGACCAGACCAAGAATATTCCAGATGCATCTGGTATCCATCTTCAATACAACACTAACACCGCCAGATACGGCACAACCTTCATAGGCTGGCTAGTCGCCGCCCTAACCAACAGCAAAATAACCCAATACCTAGATCTAGGCCCAATCCTCAGCCTAGGCGCCGCCATCCAAGTCCTAGCCCAAGTACTGCGTGTCTGGGAACCCCCATTCGCATTGTTCGCCGTAACATTCTTCCTCGCCAGCTTGGGCCAAGCCTACAATGACACCCATGCCAACACCTTCGTCTCGGCGCTGAACGGCGCGCACCGCTGGCTCGGCTTTATCCACGCTATGTACATGGCTGGATGTCTGGTTGGCCCGTTTGTAGCGACGGGCGTGGCATCCGCAAATGCCGATTCGAAGTGGTATCTGTTCTATCTTTTCCCTCTTGGCATCGGTGTAGTGAATCTTGCGTTTGTGAGTGGTTCTTTCCGGGATCGCATGGCTGCTCCGACTACCTTGAGGGTGGAGAGAGGGGGCACGACTGGTCCGAATTCTGCGCTCAAGGAGATTAAGGATACGCTTTCTACTCCTGGGGTTTGGCTGCTGAGTTTGTTTTTCTTTTTCTTTCTTGGTGCTTCTATTACCGCTGGAGGTCTGTCTTCTCTTGTTCCTCTACTTGATCTGTGAAACTGATTATATCAGGATGGATGGTCGAATATCTTGTCAACGTCCGCAACGCCGACGTCAAAGAAATGGGTTACGTCCCAGCTGGCTTCTACGGCGGCGCCTTTCTAGGACGTCTTATCCTCGCCGAGCCTACACATAGACTCGGCGAGCGTCGGATGATCTTCTTTTACGCTTTGCTGTGTGTGGGGTTGCAATTGGTATTCTGGCTGTGAGTTTGGAACTACCTCCAACATCCCATCTATATACCCCGGTATCCTGTGTTGTCTGTACTAATACTCGTGATCTACTAGCGTCCCGAATATCATCACCGAGGCAGTAGCAGTCAGTCTACTGGGATTCTTCTCTGGTCCTTTCTTTGCAACAGTACGTGTCCACCGCCGTAATTTCCCGATCGCAACTCTAACCCCTGGCTCAGGGTATATCGGTCGGCTCAAAGATATTATCACCAGAAATCCGCTCTTCGGCAATCGGTAAGCTAACCTCAGCCCTTGGACTCCCTAGGCTGTGCATTTGTATCCTAACACTAATCCATATAGCATTTGTCTTCGTACTCGGTCAAATCGGCGGATCGGTCTTTCCCGCTTTGACGGGCATCATCGCAGGAAAGGTGGGTGTCCAGGTCCTGCAGCCCATGCTTGTTGGTTTGCTCAGTGCCGCTGGCGTGAGCTGGTTAATCTTGCCTAAGGATACCGCCTTACATCAGGATTGAGGGATCTATAAGACCGAGCTTCATGGTACACAATTGGTCCACAAAGACATGGTATATGTGAAAGCCTGTATAGAGAACACAACCTGCTTCGGGGCCTTCGAGAAGATGGACGTAGAGGGGTTTATCTACCTGAAGACAATCCACGAGGGTTGCTAGTAACTGATATCTTTGCAGCCTGCCCTTCTGTACAAGAAAAACCACAATAATGATGCAGGACGCAGACACTTCCAGCTTCAATGACATTGAACAACCCGAGGCACCAGGGTATAAATTCATTACTTCGTTACATCACGACGACCAACACCGCGAAAAATCAAAACGAGCGAGAAAAAGAAGCCCCAAAATCAAATACACAACCTCGCACAGCTATGATAAAAACGAACCCCCAACATAAAGAAACCTCATAAGCATCATTCCTCATAAGAAAATAAAGGAACCCAAAGCCATCAGAAGATATCCTCAGGCCACTGGTAATCCTCAAGGCCAGAAATCACAGAATCCACAACAGAAGCCGACGACGGAGACAGCACAGGGGCAGACACAGGCCTTTTTTTAGGCGACCTATTCACATTGACCTTGACCTTGGCAGCACTCGAGCGGTGCTCTTCAGGGAGAGGCGGTACGGGCGGAATATCGTCGTCACGGAGATACCCAGATCGTCTCCGACTAGGGGATGTCTTCGATCGTGTCGGGGTGCGAGGGCTACGATCAGGATTGAGCTGGCGCTGTGGGTGGTGGTAGAAGGCTTCGCGGTGAGAGTCACTTGGCGGAGCAGGCAGAGGCGTAGACCAGATATTGGAACGAGAATCGTCGTCCGAGGCGGCGGCGGGCGAAGACGCCGGGCGCATGCTGGTCTGGCTCTTTTTCATGCGGGTAGGGGTCGCGGGCTTGGAACTTGGTGAGCTGGCTGTTCCGGAGACTCTTCGGGGTTGAACGTAGGGGGACCTTTTGATGTTGTGCGTGGCACTAGAAGTTCCTCCAGCATCCTTCTCTTCGTGCTCGGTCGAGGGAGCTGCATTGTCTAGGGCTTGCTTGCGCTTGGCTGAGCCGGGGCTCTCGCCGGCCTCGGATTTCGGCCATTTCGCTTTTCCGGGTGGGCTAAGTAGACCGGAGTCAATCAGAACCTCGGGTTTGGGGTCGCGTTCATGATCGTCGATGCCTTTCGTCGGATTGGGCTGAGGAGGGTTCCCACTATCGATAGATTCAGGAATGGAAGACTTCCGTTTACGGGAAGAGCGGTCCTTACCCATTGACGACGGCTGTGTCCCTTTCGAGCGCCATTTTGGACTTTGGCTCGTAGCCAGCGTTTGAGGCTGTCGTGATTCTTCGAAAGAGAAAGCTTCGCGGCCTTCCACGGATGGCAGGGCTGTCAGGTTGGCCGCTTCGGATCCGGACGCCTCGTTTTCTGCGGCCTGTTGATCTAGAAGCCTTTCCGACGGCAGAGTGGGAAGGGCACCAGGGACGAACTTCCTTGGGAACAGTGCGGGATCCATCTCGGTATTGAGTATTTTTGGCTGGGTCGTAGGTGCTGGGATCCACTCCTCGTTGCCTGTGAGCTCACGAAGCTCCCGCCGCGCACGTTGCAGCTTGTCCTCAAGATTGCTAACTTTCTTGAGCAGCTTGGTTTGGCGCGAAAGTTCCCTGCGGGAGGGTTGCTTGCGCAATCCAGTTTGCTCGTATTCATCGGAAGTTCTATCGCAAAACACTGCTGGGGAAGCAGATGGCGATCCATGGGATTTGAAGAATGACTTCGGTAGGCGAAGATCCTGAAGAGAGGAGCGTTTGGAAGCTGAAGACTCAGATCGTAAGGGTACACCATGATTCCCTTGATCAGTTGAGTGGCAATACAAGTCTTTGACTGGAGAACCGTATTCCATCTTGTGTTGGATTGACCGCCAGGTCTGGTCGGCGAGGGTAGTGTTGACACCAAGACCCTCAGTATAGTGGCCCTTATTCGTACCCTTGTAGCCGGCCTTCTTCAATTCTGCATAGGCCTGCTCCGCCTGATTGATGACATCCTTCTGCGGCGACTTAGCCGGCGAACCCTCAGAGTTCCTCCCCCATCCACCAAAGGGATTAAACGCCGAGGCAATAGCCTTCCCGAAGCGAAAGATACCAGATGTGCGGTGCTGAATGCCAGGCTGCTTGTTTTCCTGCTCCTGGAAGTAGATACTGGGCGGTTTCTCGCTCACACTATCATTCATAGTCGCTTCGACAAATCGCGATGTCCGGCCTCTGGGACGGCGGGAGCTAGAAGCAGATGCCGCAGCATGGCGAGCGCGCAGCGAAGCGAGCGAGCCGCGAGGTGAAGCACGGGGCGAGGACTTATAGCCTGAACCATTTCCGCTCACGCTGAGACTCCCATTTTCACCACGTTGGGTGCGGCGATCATGGGCTCCGTAATCAGCGGCTTCTTCGGGCAACGGCCAGTCATTCGAGCGACGTCGTTTGGCCAGGTTCCCTGCCGGCGACCGGTGATCATCTGCGTGCGGCTCGTCGGCATCGTCGAATTGTCCAGAGATATCTGAGCTCCAATCGCAGTCCTCGTCGTCGCTAGAGCGTAGGTGCTTGCGCGAGGAGCGCTGGTGTGCGGGGCTCGGGTCGATGTCCATTTCCATTTTGGAGTCGCGGGAACTGACATGACGCAGGTAAGTTAGGTTTAATCCTTCTTATGCGGGAGTTGAAATCCCTTTCGCGGGGATTATGGCAAGGGACCTTACCTTTGCAGCTTGCGTTATCCTTTTCTCCCCACGCCCTTGGAAAGATAGTGCAGAAGTCTGTCAGAATTGGGCATAGAAATGTAGTGCTTCGAGCGCTGAGAGAGAAGAAATAAAGCTAAGAAAGGAAACTGGAAATGAAAGTCTCGGGAGACTCGAGTAAAAAGTGATGCGCAGGTTTGTTTACATACTCCGCACTTGCCCAGGGGGGAAGTTTGTTGTGGTACCTGGTACCCACGTCTACCGCCAATCTTTTGTGGTTCACGAAGTACCCGTTACATCATCAGAATGTCATATGCCCCAAACAAACATTTACAAATATCTATAAGACCTGGAATCGATGTGGAATTTCGCGTGTCCCAAACATGTGCCTTGTATTCAATAAGGAATGTAGAGTATGACATATTCAACCGAGACATATGTATGGATAACACTTGGCTACTAAAATGCGGCTATACCTACACGTATATGCATTCTGATGATAAATTGGTGCAAATCGCCCATGGGAAGATTGAATAGGTAAAAGAAAAATGCTAGGTATCAAAGAGATGCCACAACGCCAGTATAAAGAGATTAAGTACTAGGGGTTTAGGGCGTGAAGGAAAGTATCGCAACGTCAATGAGACAAGCCCTTGTCTGTCTGGAAAGTATGCTCTGAGAAATGCTGAAGAACATCCTAGTTAGAGTCTAGATAGGAGTGACATTCTCTGTTCCGATCTGGGATGAAGGGACCGAGGCGCTTTGCTTTTTATGATGAAGTGTGAGGGAATCCGAGAATGATGCAAGTCCATGGATGTGTCAATAAATCATCATTGAGGCTGGGAGTAGAATAGCAAAACTACCAAACCCCTTATAACTCCAGATTCGGAATCTTGGCCAAAGAAATTCCTCGCGAAAGAGTGGAACATGAAAGAAATCGGTTCTCGAAGAGATGAAACCAAATGCATCAAGGAATATAGGGCCCAAGTAGCCTTAACGAGGAATCAGGAGGTAAGTTATGTACAAAAAAGATGCATCAGGTACATCACAAGAATCCGGTCCATTAACCGGTTCAAGACTCGGTCATCGAGACAAGCCCAAGGAGAGTATATCGTGCTTTCCGCCATTGCAGCAAGGTATTTGCGGCAATCTCAGGCCCTATGAACTCGATGGAGGAGCCTTCATGACCATTTTACCGTTGGCACGCTTGTAGGACAACTGAATACCCATTTCAGCCATAAGTGCAGCCCGACTTTCTCCCGCGAAATCGCGATACGCGGGATAAGGCTCGGTATCAGGCCGCATGCCGTTCTGCATTGACCGGTCATCAAGACCGAAAGTATCTTCATGACTCCTTTTGCCGTATGTGGGCCCAGTTTGGTATACCATACGCTTCCCTCTAACGTTGTCGTATCCGCCCCCGCCTCCGGGTGAAGTGCATTCCACCGAAGGAACAATATGGTTGGCATATTCATTTGGTAGGGGCTTGGCAGGCGGGATGGCCGGGACCGGTGTTTGAGAACGTGACACCGGAACATTGGGCGTGGATGGGTATAAAGATGGCTCAGCCATGCGATCCATGTATGAGTTTGATTTCGGTGGCTCCATGCCATATGAATTCATAGGAGGCTTGGGGTAACCACCTCGCTCGGCAGGTATTTGAGGGGCCGGATATGCAATGGGTGTTCCTTCGTATTCAGAGGCGTTGGATGGGTGTCGTATCTGGGCATATGCGTGCTGTGGGGAGTAAATACCTTGCGGCGGTGGGGGTGTAGGAGGCATGTGAGGAGCCGGATAATGCGAAGGCGTGGAGCCAAACGAAAGGTGCGATTGGTATGAGGGTGTCTGGGAGTGTGACATGGGTGCAGGAGGCATGGGTCTTTGATATGGTTGTGGGCACTGGAAGCCATAGTCGGGTGCAGATGGTCGTCGATCTGGGGGAACAAACCCGTAGGGCGATTCCATATTGCTGCCATTGCTGTTTGACCTAGGGCGATCCATCGAAGCTGCGTATCTGTCAGGTGTCGTGAAACGATCTGACGATCTTGCATACGCAGCTGCGCGTTCCTCGCCGAATTCATAGTCCTCATCCCGCTTATCGCCCCGGCGTCTCATGCGAACATCACGACGAATACGAACACGGCAACCCTGCTCAGCAATGATACGGCTCAGAGAGGTGCTGGTCGCTAGGCCAGGGAACTTCTTGGCGCTATAAACGGTAAAAGGTACCGACTTGACCTCGAGACGGAAATGAAGAAATGCTTGCGGGGTGCCCGGCTTTGATGTAGCGGAAAGGGGTATTTGGTTGGGAAGAGGCAAAGTCGAATCCTTGTCGGCATCTTTGGCGTCCTTGATCTCTTCGTACAGGTGGAAGTTCAAGCGGTACCTGCCCTCATGACGCACTGACAGATCTGGGAAGATGAAATAGCCTGCTTGTGAGGGGCGGTCGAGATATGCGACACCGGCGACTGGCACACCGGTTAATACGGGGCAAGACTGCGGTCCACCCACCCGTCCATGGGCGATAGGTCGTGCGGTGTCAAGGGTTGCATAGAGGAAGAAATTGGCATTGTAGGCGAAAGTGATATCGGTCTTTTGCGTATCATTAGCCGGGTCGGACTCGAAGATGCGTAGCTCGACCACAGGCGGTGGGTCAACAGGGCGACGGTCGGCAGATGCTGTTTGAGATGGTCAGTCAACGCGCAAGCCTGATTAGGCTCAAGAGCAAATACTGACACTTCGCTCCCGCGCCGCACGCTCTTGCCCGCTCTGGTTGTTGCATCACGCTCAATTTGTACGTGAGCTGTTTGCCTTCACGAGTGATCCGGCTAACTGAGTGCTCAGTCTCATTATGAGGTGGCATGATGGATGGTCTGTTGGCCATTTTCGCGGATTGATGTTATTATTCCCAGATATTCCGGTCGCAGTATCAGCAAGAGTCGATCGTGTGGTTGGAGGGTTCGTCCTAGTATGTTGATTCTGACACGGAGCGCAATGTACAATCCGGAATCAATGGGGCCTTGGACGAGTTGTGCTGATTTATTTTGGGATATGGCCTTTTTCTCCCCTAGTTGCTGGCTTCACATCAGCCGTTGGAAAGACTTCCAAGGTAGTCAAATCGATAATCCCCCACACATACAGGAAAAGAACAAAAATCAGTCCCCGATGGATGGAAAACTTCAAGTCCGAATCAAGTGAATGGAAAGTAGAGAAGAGGAGAGGGGGCAGAGTGGGAATTTGGTGACACTAACAGACCCCGAGCCGTGGGTACGCCTCCCGATTCTGGGTAATTGCGGTATGGACAAAAGTACCTGTTCGGTCTGGCCGTAGGACCGTGTATTGTTTCCTTATCTGATAATGTTTCTGCTTTCTAATTCTATTGTTCTATAATCACTTTCCTTTTTTAAAAGAATGACATGTATTACATTAATCTAAGGTCAAATTGATGGTCTCCTACCGTATGTATGTTCAGGGCTTTGAATAATACATATGTACCCTATGTAATGACATAACAGTGGAAATATAACTACCTAGGTAGTTAGTTAATAAAAATTAATATGAAAGAGAGAATATTATGTGCCCTTTAAGAAGATGACGACACACGTCGATTTGTAGATCTCTTTGCTTTTTCGCTGTAAAGAACTGGTATTTATCTCCCATGGAACTCCACGTTACCCGGCGTTTATATTGCTGGGTTCCAAGGTTCCGGCCGCAACCCAGTCCAACGGACCGGAGTCCCTTTATTTTCCTTTGTCTCCATAACGTCCTATGCTTATATTGTATACCTTATATAGATGAACATGCTGTTTAAAAAGATCCTGCTTTTTTAAATGTCCCATATTAATTCGTTTGAATAAAATTCACTGATAAAGTTTCAAATACCGTGTATTCTAATTACCGGTCTAGTCCCTAAGAACATTCAACACAAGAAAAAAGCCAACTTCGAACTTCGAACTTTCCCGACCCGATTTAGATTGTCATCAAATGACACTGATTCGCTTCGATAATCAAGTCGTGTGGCTTGGCTGACTCCGCTAAACCAATCAGTAATGTCTTTAATGAGTCTAAGACTGGCAAGACGGTTTCTAGCAGGAGTTGCCCCAGCTGCCAGCTGTCCATCCCGTGTGCGCACAGTTCTATGATAAATTTTAATCTGCAAATCTTTCTTTTCGCTGAATCCCTGTCGTCCATGTCTGTTGTAGAAAATTGATGATCTTTCTGGTTCGCCTATGAAGTGGATAAATTATGATATTTTCTTCTCTTTCCTTTTGTTTGGTACGACTCCATAGCAAGCTACAGATTACTCCGTACTAAATTTGAGGGCCTGCAGATTTAGTCGCATAGTCCGTACAGGATCCCGCAAGGAATTCCAAAAATGGCCTGGGTCTAACGGCTCTTTTCATGTGCACACTTGAATATTCTTTTTTTTATCATTGTTGTACCGTGTACTCCGTATAAAGTATGATAGTTACATGTTATATTCCGAAACAGATCCTTTATGGCCGTAGAATACTCCGTACGGAGTAATTATATTTCATTATGGATCTCCTTGGGCACTTTAGTACCGGGGAAGTCGGGCCATGAGAAACTACTGCATCAGCAAATAGTCCGTCCGTCTCAAAATCCCTCAGCCCACCTGCCCATGGCTAAGGTGAAAAACTTATATTTTATAAGATATTCCAAGTGATGATTCCAAGTGATGATGTGACTTGAGGTCTATATAATTTAGACCCGGATACTTCTGCAGAATTCCTCGTGGCGAAGATCGTCTGCATAAGTGACGCGCACCTGGATCTTTCTGATTTCTTACAATACGTACATATACTGTCGTACTTAGTCCAAGCTTGGTCAAAGCTTCAAACCCCACTCAGCCCATATGTTGCAGGGGTTGGATATCCTCAGGCTCAGTGCGAACACTGCAATGATAATGAGTTCTAATGGAGCATTCCGTAGGCTTGGAAGACAAAGGCGACTTTGGAAGTACTCACATGGAGTACTCCGTAGGCTTATATTGTTGCCTTATCCAACCCCCGATCCTTGAATGATTCCAACCGTTAGTGTGGCAATCACCAGCCCCCGAAGATCATAGGTATGATTCACGCTTCGATATTCTACTCTGTAGAATGATTCATTCTATTGCAGAAAATTGTTAGCACTCGACAGTCGCTTTCTCAGCTGGTACGAATGACTCCAGAATTATACTTCCTAATGCAATAATAGAATATGTGCACAAGTCCAGCGACTCTATATATTGTAGGAACAATTACATGTATTCGGTAAGAATCTTTCTCGTGCCCACATGGACATATGCAAGTGTTCACCCTTTTTCCGACTGAATCATGCTACTCTGTACTCTGTACTCACTACTCCGTAATCTGGGTAATATCCGATTCGGCTCCGAGCGACCCCTGTCGAAGCGGGCGATAATGGTAATGCTCAGGACCCATCTTTGCATTTGGACTATTGCTTGATTGGGATGGACGGCAGGGGGTTCTATCATGTGAGTGGCTGCTAAATGGATCGAAGGATATCAGAGGTTTGAATATAACTTTCTCCTCTCTGAGACAACCTGTCCTTTACTCTTTGCTTGTGTCAGTGTGGCAAGGGTTATGTCAGGATGAATTGAGGCCTCTCCCCTCTGCAATACTAGCCCTGAATTATAGAGGTAGGGCCTATTCTGTTATATTTCACGACGTTCGGTAGGAGAGGTGTACTGCGGGTTATTCCCGAAGGAGTATAACTGTACCACTGTTTCACGACACGGGCCAGGTTGTCTCCTGTATTGCTTTTGGAAGAAACATCAGCCACCTTTGATTTCGGTCATAACCTCTGTATGCAGCAAACGGCACTCAGATCGTCGCATACAATACAGATGCCGATATGCTACAGCACACGGGTAGAAGCGAGGATCTACAAAATCCAGATGGTAGGTTTGTTCATATCCCTAGGACGACTTATGTTCGGCTGAAATAAATATGATATATCATTCTGTCCTCGCTTTTCCCTTAGAATTGGATTTAGGAAGAGGCCTCCAGTTCAATTCTTCCACTGCCATGTGGAAGAGATATTAGGTAGATCCTCAGCCAGCCACAAGTCAGACCAGGATCCCCAAAACTCATGAAGCGATTTGATTCTTTCGCGAGACTGAGGTGAATAGGACGGTCGATGACATCAGATAGTAGTTCTACGGTATACATTCCACAATAACGTATATATACAACAACAGACTGAAAAAATGCGAACAACTCATGAAGTGAACAGAATAATGAATCAGAACCCGGAATATTTTATCTTTTCTCAAATCCTTTTCGCACGGACTCATCGGCACTGGCGAACGTTTTTTTATCCACCTGCCCAATGCAGGACGCCGAAGGTACGTACCTGCTTTGTACTCCGTACAAGCGAATTGTACGATGATGTTCCCCAATATTCCTTTCTATACTTGTGACGATTGTATCCTAATTTGGTCCACTCCATATATGTTGTATAATTCAGGGGATAGAATTTCTTAACAACATGAACAAAGTCCCATTCTGATGCAGCACTACTTTGGTTTCATGCGGTTATATAGAAGTGTAGGCGGTATAATTCTGCCGAAAAGTGAGGTCCTTTAAGGCTACACATTTCGCCCTTCGGGGCATATGGTCTATACGGGGAAGATTAGCAGAGCTCGTCCTAAGGATGACACCCATATCAAAGAGACCACCCATTTTTTTACTTTCCTTCGACCTCCAATATTCAGGTTCTACGGTGTGGGTCACTTTGATGGCATCTAATTGGTCCTACGCACTCAGAAAGTCACGTGGGAAACATCCACATCGAAAGTACAAATCGACCAATGAGAGAATATTATTATTTGCCGTTGTGATTGGCTGAGGCCTTGAACAATCTACCTAGGTAGTCACGATATCGACTCCCATAACTGCACTTCTCCTATGGATCTTCTATTAGTTTTACCTGGATTTGTAACAAAACCATTCGCACACATCCTCCCTCCCCTTGAAAGAGCTAAAGTCACCACTGTCGATGTGATCACACTCGATTCACTCGAGATCGCGAAACGTGCCCGCGTACCTCCCGCAGATGTTCGCCGACTCTCCTCCTGTGTTGTCGAGGCATTGCACACAGATGTTGGCTTTGAAAAGCCACAGACAAATACAGGGACCAGCGATGGGCCCAGCTCTAGTATAAACCCTGACGTGACGAGCAGGACAATCAGCTCAAGGAAGCGCGCGTCACAATGGAACACTATAAGCACTCTTGACCCTACGATGGATGCACTGTTAGGAGGCGGGATTCCGACCGGGTATGTCACAGAAGTTACGGGTGAGAGGTATGTTGCAAGTGTTCATCCTAGACTTATAAGCCCGACAGGCAGGTCCATCTGACATGTCGATGTCCAGTGGAAGCGGCAAGACCCAGTTCCTCCTAAGCCTCTGCCTAGCCGTCCAGCTACCCAAACCACAGGGTCTACAACGGCGTGCCATATACATATCGACAGAACACCCGCTATCTACGCCACGACTCTCACAGATCCTAGAATGCCATCCTGTCCTCTCAACACTCCCCACTGAGCAGGCGCCCTCGCTGCAGGATATCCTGTCCATCAACGCCATGGACCTGGAGACGCAAGACCACATCTTGAATTTCCATCTTCCCGTCGCGATCGAACGGTATAACATCGGTCTGGTCATCATCGATTCAATAACATCCAATTACCGCGCTGAACACTCCTCGAACAACCTCCAAGCCAACGCCAAACGATCATCCGAGCTCGCAAAACTGGGCCATCTACTGCGCAACCTCGCCGTAAAGGAAGACGTCGCTATTGTGCTTGCGAACCAAGTCTCCGACCGTTTTGAGTCTATAAAAGGCAGCGAGCAG